GTGGACATTATAATTAAAAGGGAATAGGATTGATTGGTAATACTTGTTTACCAATATCCCTTTCCCCTTATTTCTTGTGGAGTAATTAAAGCACACAACAGTCAACAGTCATGCCTTTATATTATGGGTTAGCCCTACAATAGCAAGGTACTATATAAAGAATTATAGTTATCTGAAGGCTTAAAATTTGTCTACTTGTAAAATTTAAATATGAATGGGTTTTTATAGTTTGTATTCAACGCTATATTCCCTTTTCACGAGATAGTGCAATATGCTAGTCCCATGCATAAACATATATTAACCATATGCTTCAATATTTTAGAACACTAACCGTATTTCACCACCCTATCTCTTTCCCACTTTAAAGTTTCACTATATAATTTGGTTTCTTTCACACTCTTGCATTTCTTTATTAATTGAAATGCAATTTTATTTTGAAACAGTTTCACAAAATATGTGCTCACCCATGATTATCTAAATTCTAAAATTTCCTCTGAAATTCCTTTAATATTTCCTTACTATAGACAATCACATGTTTATCACGGAATTTTAAAGGAATTCTTTAAGCATTCCCAAGGAATTCTTGAAGTTTATGAAATCAATTTAATATTTTAATTTGTAAACAACACAACGATACTAAAGTATTTGTCCCATGTGAGAATATCTGAATTTAGAAAGTTAGTGTAAATTAATGAGAAAAAGTTGCTGTTATACAGTGTGAAGATAAAGATATCCATCCGAATTCCAAGTATGATTATATAAACAATTAAATTAATCTGTAAAACGGGTAAATAGATTTCTCTTATTTTATCCATGTATACATGATCTGCTAGTAAAGAAAAACAGCTAGTTGCCAAAGGCTAGAGATGAACATATTGTGAACTAGCCATTGGAATGATTCTCCAGATTCACAAGGGGCATGGGGCATATTTCATGATTTGCTACCTGAACTGTCCACATGGTTTACAAGCACATACTGGATATAAATATTAGTTATGCAGTATCAAGTGTAGATGCCCAAAAATTAAATCCTGAAAATTTAATAGACAGTACATATACTTTTTGAGATATGTAATAAGAGGATGTTTATATGGGGGTGAGGCTGGATGCCCGGGGTTAGGGGCTACAGACTTAAGGTCACTTTTCCTGAAGCAAGATCTCGGGCTAAAGGGGCGGGATCTCGCTTAGCTATAGCCGGGCCCGCTCTTTACCCATATATACACAAGGTGAACTTTAGTAAGAAATAACAACAAAGGCAAGATCTTGCCAAAACTGGGCCAGCTTGGGTACCTGGGGATGGCTTGCAGTTGCACCATATAAACAGCCCCTATATATAGGCAGTATATATTTTGTCTGGTAATTGGAGTCTTTGGAGATTTTGTGTGTAAATGAATATAAAAATGACCCTTTACGGGTGGGTTGAGGGGGGTGTTTCTGTCAACATTTTGGAAAGCAATAATATTTTATTAAAAAATTAGAATAATCACATATTAAATTCTGATAGTAGTATATATTGTATTGTGTGTGATTAAAGCAAGGTTATTTTTTTTTACCCCACCTCTGCATGCAAGGATTTTTTGGCCACCCCACCTATAGCAACTATTATTTTTCAGTTACCCCACCATTTTCTCTTCGGCCCCCACCCCTGCCATAAATAATGACCGGTCCCCGACCCAGCGGCGGCGGAACAGATTTCGTTCTGGGGGGGGCTAAATTTTTTCGGCGACCTCCCCGTCGCCAAAAATATTTCGGTCAGTGTACCACTTTAGGGGTACAATATACAAAAAAATAGGTACGCACTGCGTACATGTGGCTAGCCTACTCAGCCTGGTCGAATACAGCCGGACTTCACATCGTCATGAACATTCATCACAAACATTCATTTTGATACAAAATTAATCATTACAATAGAACAATGGTCAAAATAAAACAGATGCAGTATCTTTCTTACAATGCCAACAAATGGTTAGAATCACTTGATTTAAAAGCAACATGGTTTTGCTTTAATAATGATATAATACATACAGCAACTAATGTCAATTTTATTTTGTTTTTCAAAATTGCACTAATATGTAATTCACTAAGATTTCATTACACCGGTTTCTTGTTACAGATATATTCTGTTGTCTGGTTTACAAGTTATTAGCTTTTCTTGCTGGCATTGCTGGCATTGCAGATTTCATAAAACCTTTAAATTCAAAGTTCTTCATTTAACATAATGTATTTAATAATATATTATATTATATTTTTAAACATTTTTATTTATTGTAAGATCTAACAGCATCGGAATTTATAATGAACTCATCAAATCAATTATGTCATCACCGACACCACTAACTTGTATTGCCCTGACACTTGTGCAAATATCCTGATCTTCCTATATTATCCAATATTATCACCAGTCACCATATTATCAGCAAATTGATCAGAATATGTGTTCACTTAGTTGTTTGAAGTACTGTAGATGCCATGCATCACTATGATTTTGAATTGTGCTTTCATCTGCAAATTGTTTAAAATTAAGAACCAAATATTTACTGGCAGCTCACAAGACTGACACATTGTAAATGATGCAGGTATAAATTTAACCCATTAAGCAGCAGAGCTTCCCCATTGACGGGTAAAATCGTCTGGCGTTAGACAAGTAAAAGAAATAAGTAGGGTGCACTGGGGCACATTGCAGCTCATTGGGTTAAACAACATTTAACTGTGGCAATAAGAGTATGAATATGCTACTCAATTGACACTGCTGTTATTAAGTGCTGAAAAGAAATGTTGAAACGTGTCGATATGACCTCATCACATGGCTGTGGGTTTTCTTCTTCATATATACCCTCGTAACTGCAAGGGTCAGTGTTGTATGGTGATTGCACTAATGTTCAGAGACGTAGCAAAGCATCTGAAGTTTGGGGTGGGGTGCCGGATGTCAAATGGTCATCATTTTACAAAAATAACGACTTTGTTACACAAAGTTTACCTGAAAATGTCAAAATTTACAATGTACATGAGTTTTACCTGAGTTTCACAGTTGTGGGGTTTACAACCCCCCCCCCACACACACACACACACACACACACACACACGCCCGTGTCTCTACGTCCCTGCTGATCCTAGATCAGATATATGTTATTTACATCTGGACTAGATATCCAAAAATAAACTGCACCTACAGTTGCATTTCCTGGTTTAATAGGTCTAATGAATGTAAAATAATACATTTTCACTCAATTACTTCCATCTAGAAGATCCTTCAACTGTATGTAAACAGACTGAGCTTCCAGGCTAGTGACTACAATAGACTATATTAGCATAAACTCATAAAATAGTCCCGCCTGTTTTCTGTGTTAATTGTAGTTTTATACCTGCAAGTGGATAGGGCGGTTTTAGTATCGTTGTAAAATATGTAAACAATGGGCTTGCTTCTTATAAATTTACCCACATAATGGATAAAAATTCAAGATCTGTGCAAGAACGTTTGATTATAAACCACAGGATTATAAACTCACTATATAAAGCTTTATATCAAGCGTGATCAAAATCTCCTTGATTTCTCCTAACTTACCTTTTGTAGAACTTCTCTTATCGTTCGCAAAATTTTCGTATTTTTTTAAACAGCAGCTGTCGAAAAGACCTCAAAACGAAAATATTTGTTTGCATGAAATGTTTATCAGGCATGAAGTTCAAAAATTTCCGATGAAAACCGAAATAACCGATCGTCAAACTGTCGGGCCTCATCACTTCCGCCAAATTTCCGATGATAACCGAAACCACGAAACAAACGATCGCCATACTGTCGGCCTCACTTCCGCTCACGATAATTTCACGACAATCCGGACAGACATCGTTGACCGACCACCACCGCTCATCCCGTATCATAGTGGCTAGCCCGCGAACGGGCTAGCCACAAAAAAGGGACGAAAAAAAATTTTCGGACTTATATCAAAAAAAAATTTTCGGAAATACACTTTTTTTAAACAAAATATTGCAAATTTGTCCCCTTATACCTAAATTTTTTTTCCAAAAATTCAAATTTTCCAAAACACTTCTGGGGGGGCTTTAGCCCCCCTAGCCCCCCCCCCTGTTCCGCCGCCCCTGCCCCGACCATTTGAAACTAAACGGGCTTCGTACAAACTGCCTTGATCATATACAAGTAATGGTTGAATTATGTTAAATTGTTTTGTGTGAATTGTTATTTTGAAGGTTCACGACAGTGGCGGACGCGAAATAATGTGTAAAATGTAGGTTGCCAACATGCATACTAGCCTTTTCCTAAAATAGATCACAATACATTCTGGGATCGTTTGGAGGGACAAAATATATGGAGACAGGCGTCAAATATGTGAAAGAGTAGAAGTATCTACAATCAAATATCAACTTTTTACACCACCAAAAATGAAATATCTCCTTTTTACATTAAACATTTAATTTAAATGTGTCCTGCCATATTTCTTGTCCCTCCAACAAGGGACTAGACCCAGGATTTTGGGAAATGGCTAATTCTAATCCTCTCGCAATCTCGTTCTTGCGAGTGTCAGTTCTTTAAAAGTAATTTTCGATGTAATTAAATATCACGGAAGTTTGCTGAATTACACCCTTCCGGAAAGTACGTCACTTTGGCAATAGAGCCTCGTTTTCATGTATCAGACATCAGTTAAAGGCCACGTCTCAATCACGAAAGCGAGGCTCTATAGCCAAAGTGACGTACTTTACGAAAGCGTGTATTATAGCTTGTCAAGGCTTTCGTGATTGTAAAATCATTGTCACAACTTGGTTACACAGTTAATCAGCTATCATTCAATAATTCAATGTATTTCAAAATTATTGGGGGGGGGGGGTGCCTCCCCCCCCCCCAACCTTAGTGTCCGCCACTGGATCACCCGAATTTACCCGGGTGTCACAGGTTTTTCCACATTCGCAGGAGAAAAACACGTTAAAGCAGATATGCGATACCGGTATATCTCGAGCGTGGACCGTGGAGTAACCTCTCACGCCTAAGGTAACCAGATTTATGTACCTGTATATTTCTAACATTTCTATTTTATATTCCATCACTCTAAAAAACACCTTGGTTAAATGACCCCAGCCCCTGGTTATTTATCCCTTAACATAGTGTGGTTAGTTTAACCTGGACGTCCTGGTCAAACATAACCGGATTCCTTGTTACTGACTGATTAATGGCAGGAAGTGAGACAGGGACATTTTAATAACCAGGGTGTTTTTTATAGAGTGTTAAAATTCAGAATGAATTAAAATTTTATGTAAATAAATTGTTGATAATTAAATTGTTAAGAAAAGATAAAATAAATTTCTGTAGTATCTAGATATCATTTCAATTTTATAGCCTTGAAATCATCGGATTATCTCCGTAAGTGACTTATCGGATTATTTCCGTTTGTTTAGAGCCTCGATAGTCAAGAAAAATTCGTACATGCCGATGTTTTTGTTACCACCCAAAAATAAGTATCTCGTATATTTTGCGAGACACGTGCATGGAAATGTTAAGGAGGGTTTTAAATTTTCGTTGCCAAGGGTAATGTTTGAGATTGTTGCAAGTACCTAATCTTCAAAATCTTTCTCTTATCCCCTTTAGCAATGACCTACTCGCCACCGTTCAAAATGGAACAATAGAGAGTTTGAGCAAGACAACGAAGTACGAAGATGAAGGCATACTTGACAATTTTTGCCGTCTGTACATTATCTTGCGCATACTGAGTTGGACGTCACTGGTGGTTGTACAACGTGTCTTCCCATGTGTCGCTGTTTATGAATACTGACCATAATTCTTGCCCTGATCCAGAAAAAAACAGCGAGACATGAAACTATATCCCGTCTTTCTCCTTCTGCCTTCGTGCATAACGAAGTTCACAACGAATTTTGCCAAAATATTCGTTGTGAACGAAGGCAGAAGACGAAGACGGGATATGGATTCGTGTCTCGCTGTTTTATCCTGATCAGGGTAAGGATTTGGGTCAGCATTCACAAACAGCTAGACATGAATCTCTAATCTGTCTTCACTCCTGACCCTAAACTCAGAATGCGCAAGGTAATGTGCAAGACCACAGGAGGCCCAGGCTCGATTTGCCCGCGCCCGCCTGTGCCTTCCTTATAACGAGGGAAGGACGGAGACATTGAGACCAAAATAGCCCAGACTTGGCATATGTCACACGAAACTATCCTCGATTTTTCGCTTTTAATGCATTTCTTTCACGATTAATCGATATCCCCTGCAAGAATGATACCGTATAACTCTCAAAACATCGATGCTTTAATCAAAGAGCTTAAATTCGCTCTGAAATCCGTGAGGGAATAACAAAATTCGGCCAAAATATATCCGCGTGCCCGGTTTGCTGTGCAAAAAGCGGAAGTCGTTCAACAACTCAAAAACACTCAACCCTGATTGGACAACGAATTTCAACAAACATTTCAAAATTTTTTAACAGTACTGTTATAATTTCAATCATACAATCAAAACTATTCACAAACGTTATAAAGTGTAAATATTACTGCAAGTATATAAAACTGTAGTACGTTAATATGTATAATAAATTGTATTTCACATTGTGTTTGTTAAAAAAATTTGAAATGTTTGTTGAAATTCGTTGTCCAATCAGGGTTGAGTGTTTTTGAGTTGTTCAACGACTTCCGCTTTTTGCACAGCAAGCCGGGCACGCGGATATATTTTGGCCGAATTTTGTTATTCCCTCACGGATTTCAGAGCGAATTTAAGCTCTTTGATTAAAGCATCATTGTTTTGAGAGTTATACGGTATCATTCTTGCAGGGGATATCGATTAATCGTGAAAGAAATGCATTAAAAGCGAAAAATCGAGGATAGTTTCGTGTGACATATGCCAAGTCTGGGCTATTTTGGTCTCAATGTCTCCGTCCTTCCCTCGTTATAAGGAAGGCACAGGCGGGCGCGGGCAAATCGAGCCTGGGCCTCCTGTGGCAAGACAGGCAAAAATTGTCAACCACGTCGTCATCGTCCGACTTCGTTGTCTTGCTCAAACTCTCTAATAAATCCCCATGACTGATACACATAGTCTACGACCGTGCATATTGTAAATGTTGTACTTTGTTCACGGCGCCACTTTGTTGACGATTTCCAAAAAACCTTGTGAGCAGGATACGTATTTACTAACTTAGCGTAGTTTAGGTAAATAATCTGCATCACATGATATGTTTATTTTAATTGACATTATCGTTTAGTCTTAAGAAAAACGAATGCAACAATTTAATGGCATAGTACAAAACATGGACTGGACTGGACAGTTGGACTGGACTGTTGGACTGGACTGGACTGTTGGACTGGACTGGACTGTTGGACTGGACTGTTGGACTGGACTGAACTGTTGGACTGGACTGATTTTTACATTTTCTCTATTCTTGACTTGCACGTCACCCCACGAGATGAAAAATTGGATTCGCACCGAATTTGCACAACGGAAAAAAATTTTGGCGCAAATTCAGTTTACTAAATTGGCAACCGTTGCGAATTCATCTTTGCAACACACTATATTTACTTCATATTTGCCAACATCTTTGCAGAAGTGCAAATGTAGAAAAGAATTTGCAACAACTTTGCACCTAGCTGCAGAGTTGAAGCAAAGATAGTAAACAGATTTTACTTTATTTTTGCTTGTAAAATTTTTGTCTTTTGAAATGGAGACGGCTCCGCGGACATTTTCAATTCTGTAAACATATTTACATTAAAAACATAAGAATTTTTTCAAATAATATTAATATATTATTATAAGAAAGCA